GGCAGCGAGAGCCGAGTTGCCCCTTTGGCCCCCGAGCGGCAGCTCCGACTTGAGGCCAGGACCGGCCACCGCGTCTGGTGCCCAGGGCAGGGCCCGGCCCGCCGCACGGGCAGGACTGGGACCAGGCGGCACCCGGGCAAGTTTTAGGGAAGAAACAGGCTACGGGATGGCTGCTGCCGGCTCGGAGCCGCCGCTCCGGCTCTTCCGTGTGGAGACCACCTTGTTCTTTTTTACACTCACTTTTAAGACTCCGAGAAGCTCCCCCCACCTCCCCCCCAGCCAGCCGAGGTAAGGAACTTTTCCTGCTGTAAAAGACAGGGAAGCAGCCGTTACGGTAAGAAAGATTCGGCTTTTATTGAAAATTTATATATGACTCAGTATTGTAATAAATAAACAGGTAACAGTTTTCACCAAAAAAAAGAAGAAAAAAAAAAAGAAAAAGAGCACGAGGCTAGAGAGGGGGACTTGAAGTGGGAAGGGACTTGCACACAAGGGCGAGACAGACTTTGGTGGGTACAGAATAAATATTAACAGCATTCTGGAGCCCATGCAGAGATCCAAAACGGAGAAGGGAACGAAACTAGCCGTAATAAATAATTATTAAAACAAAAAAAATGGCGTAGCCTTTAATGAAAGAAAATTTCTGTAAACTGACGCACTTCAGTTGCCCCCGGCCGCGCAGCACATCTCCAGAGCACAAAGCTTTTTTGTTGGTGTTGTTTTGTTTTGTTTTTTTTGCAAACTGCATGTAAAGAACCGGTCTCTGAGCAAATCAGACAGTCTCAATTTAGGTTACACTTAACAATAAAATGTGAAACTGCTGCTGAAATAAAACACTGGTAAATATAGCACATTTTAATAACTGGATTGAATCGGACCTAACTATAAAAATGTAGGTAGCTTATTAAATATTATATATGGCAGGACTAGATGAAACCATTCAGCGTGATTTTTATTTTGTTTCCCCCCTGTATAATCCTATTATGACAAAAACTTACTTATTTCAAATCTCATTCCTTCTCCAGTAAAGAAATCATGATAGACTTCCCCCTACTCCCACCACCCCCCAAGACATCTCTGATATCACCATCACAACAATGTTTCTGTGCAAATCTATGGAACAGAATTTCAACAATATGACTAAGCTCACAAGTAAAACATGGTACAAAGCTAGTTTGCTCAAATGGAAACCCACC